GCAGACAAACTAGTCCACCGTGCTGACGGCGCATACACTGCGCACTGTGCAGCAGAGATCCGGCCCGCGGTGAACTGATCTGTGGCTCGGCATCGACTCAGCGGCTCTCTCCATCTACCCACAGCTCTGCTTTTAAAGCGGAAGTGCGCGTAGTTTTTCATCACGGCACCTTTTCGATGTCCGCTCCTCGTTTACAGACAACTTCCACGGTGTTTGAAATAAAGGTTGTGTCTGTCTTTAACCCTGGAGCTTTTTATATTGTAGATTCAATTGTGACACAAACTGAGAAAAACATTGTATTAAATGTGTGTGTATTATATTTGTTTCACCTTGTAGTTATTTTTATTTTATTTTAGTTGGTTATCTTTATTGTGCTTTATTTTATTTATATAGTAATTTATTTGTTTATTTATCTTAATATTATTTTTCAATATTATTTTATTGGTTATCTTATATTTCATTCATTCATTGATTATTTTCTGTAGTAATTTTTATCTTATTTTGTTCTGTTTGTTCATTTTGTTAGTTGTACTACATATTTTTTTCACTCTGTGATCAAAAACACACTGTACAGCAAAAATGCAGAGTAGGCAAAACCTCCATCCTGGGTTTAGTGGCTGACTGTGGCCCTATTACAAATTACAAATCTGTACAGTGAGGAGGACTGTGAGGGGTCCGACATCTGCGGGTATTTTACAGTTTGGACCACATGTCTGTCCTTGAATGAACTGAAGCTGTGCAGTCATTTGCTCCCTCTCCATCTCCTGGTGGGACCGTAATGTCTCCATTACGTTTGTAGTGGCTTGTGGCCTGCTAGACTCGCTCTCGGTTATGGGCTATTTTCTCAACACTGTATCCCACAGGCAAGGGGAATGTGCTCAGTATGCCCCAAAAATGGCACACACTGCAGCAGCCTCTGTGTGAAAACACCTGCCCTGGAAATGTTATAGCTGCGAGTGGGAGACGGGGAGGGATGCTAAGGGGTGTGAGGATGTTTGACGGACTGTAAAGAGAAACAAATGTGCATCTCTGTAAAGAAGAGAGACAGACGGACAGACGCAAACTTTCACAGCAGATGAACCTGAGTTTGACCCCAGTGCTGGGCTGGGTACCCACTGGAGGGACGGATTACAAACTGACTGCAAAGTCATCCACTACAGTAGATATGATAGAGGACGTGTCTCCACAGAAAGAAATACACTCTTTCATATCCAGTCATCTTTAAACGGGCAGAATGGCCTCATTGGCCACAGTGGACTCAGCAGATTAGCATGGAGGCCTTTGGGCAGCACTCCTTAAGAGACTGAGCTTTCTTAAAGCTGCACAGGATCACAGTGTGTGATTTCCAGCCTTGTGTAATCCAGATTGAATGTTTTCCCTGTTTAGTAAGGTTTAACCTGGGTCACAGGGTTCAAATCACATTTTATTCATGCAGGTTTCCAGGCCCAGGTGGAACCAACAAGTAGATGATATTAGCACACTAGCAGCGTGACTCTGAGGTCTGTCTGTTGGTCCACAACTACTGGATGGAAAACCATGAAACTTTGAACAGACATTCATGTCTCCCAAAAGATGAACCCTGAAGACTTTGTTTATCCTCTGATATTTCCTGTAGCAACACCAGAATGTCAAAACTTTAACTCATCCTTGGAAATTTTGCAACTTATCTCATTTATGGAGTTTGTACGGACATTTGTTGTTCTCAGATGATAATGACTTTCCACTAGCACCAATATGAGTTTGACATTTGTGACTCAGAGTAAAATTTTTAATGGGTGAATTGCTATGATGTTTGGTGACTTTGATGATCCCCTGACTTTTTAATTAGCACCATCTTTTGGAGGTGGAGGTTTAACACTAATATACTAAACTAAGATTGTTACCATGATAAACATACCTGTTAAACCTCAGAGAGCTGTTAGCACGACAGTGTTGTCTTCTTTGTCAATACAGATAAACTATTTATGAGTATGCTTGGAGTCTAGATATGTTCAATACAAAAGTGACAGCACAGATGATGGTGCAACACTATTCAAAGGAACATTAACAAAAATGTTGTAATTCCTTTGAATTTAGATATAATGATAAAGCACCACAATGCAGTGTGCAAGAGGCCGGTACCATTTCGCCATCACCTTCACTGCCCTTTCATCAGCTTTGGCTCAAGTTTTTAAATGTACTGTCTAAATGTGCACAACTTTTTTTTGTCTTTCTTCTATTCCCGGCTTTTTTCCCATTTCAGCCTGGAGCCTTGCAGCAGTCCCAGTTTGACAACGCACATGATGGAAGTCAAAAATAACAAATCTGCAGAATGATTCCAGCCGATGTATCACACCTTCCTCGAGCATCCGTGCAGGGCTGACGGTGTTAGGAGAGAAATGAAACAGTTAGAGTGGTGACATGCAGCCCATTTGACCGCTTGTTGGAGCTTCTTATCCCCGGATGGCATGACCCAGTTTACGCCCCTGGTGCCCCCCTGGTGACACACTGTAATTTGTGGTGCTGGGAAATTACTGGAGCAGGGAGGCCTGGGAGACATAGTCAATTAGGCGGGGGCTCCACCTGTCCGGTGGGGGCACAGCCAGCCACAGACTGACACCTTAATCTTCCTCCCAAAAATGTGGGTTTTTCATAGCTTTTCAAAAGGCTTCACATGCATGTATCAGGCATTGTTTCTCAGCTCAGCGTCCATTTAAATCTACAAGGATAGGTGAACAAGTGTGTACTTGAGGCAGATGGACACAGCATCCGGACCGCTGCGTCTTGCGCACCATCTGTTCCACCTGGCTAGGAAAACATCCACCGAGGACGGCTTAATATCATGTAATGTGATTGGTTACAATTCAGAGCCAGTAGGGGTTGGAATCGGTGACACAAAACCACAAACTATAGATCAGGAAAAACAACACCAGGAGACATTTTCAGGGAGGAAAAAGTTATTACATATTTATTTATATTTTTATATACTTTTTACATATTTATTTGTAATAATATGTATCTGGAGCAGAGGGGAGATGGAGCAACGATGGAGGAAGAGCATGTTGAAGGAATGTCACTTTCTTCTTTTTTTTAACCCATTTAATTACAAGAGCATCATTATTAACTCAGTCAATGATATTCACAGTCCCATTAAACAAGCTACAACAAAGATTTCCTAAAATATAGGCTGACATATAAAACTAGCATTTTTTTTTTAAACACTGTGGTGGATGTATCTCTGGAGGAGGATGGGGTATATCTAGGATGGCCGAGTACTGCAACTAGATAATAGACAGGCAGGATTGGAGAAGGGGGGGGGCTCTTATTGTGAAAGGGTGTGTATGAAAACACACCAAGAGTGAGGTGTACAATACGCACGCATACACAACATACACACAACAGTTTCTACACAGTCATCATGCTTCAACGGGACTTCATGTTAGTCTTTTTTTTTGTCTATTTCAGCATCACGTTATTAGAAACAACAACCACAAGTGGGTCAAAAACTGCAGAAGGCAGATTCCTTCAAAAAAAAAAAAAAGAAAAACTCAACAAAATGGGTTATCATTCTAAGTGCAATAGCAAGTATTCTTGGAGCCACGCTGAAAATTCATGACAGACTTCACACACTTTTTGGGCCATCACATCTCTGAGACGCTGGGCAAAGCATTAGCATTTCCATCCCCAGGGTCTGAGGCAGCCTTCACAGCGAAAGTTGCCATCTCCTCTCTACACTACAAACCTCATTTTTCAAAACATGGTGTAAACAGAATCCCATGGAGAGTATGGTGGCTGGCCAAGAGTGCACTGCACTGCACACAAACTGGAGTCAGTCCAAGGAGAGATACTGGCAGGCAACAGTGGCGACAGGCCTGGGTCAAACACACAGACCTGACTGTTCTCGTTCTATGCAATTAGGTACACTTGGTTAATCTTATCAAATTCTTGAACAGGGGTAAAGGTTGGTATTGTGACCCAATGTTGTTGCTTTTATTGGTGATATACACAAATGCACATGAATCATCTGAAATCATCATTTGTAAAATCTAAACAAAAGGCAAACAAACCGATAAAAAACTAAACATAAGCAAATCAAATCCAGAGATTTGATCAACGACCTGGTAGCGTTTGATTGGCTGACAGTGATAAGGCAGCAAAATAAAAGGAAGGACAGTAAAACAGATTAAAGATTAAAAAATAAATCTTTATACAGGAAAAGAAAATGGTCTTTGGTGTACTCTTGTACTGAGAAAGAATGATAACAAAGGATGATGCCCAGTCAATTCCTAACCATTCCAGGAGGAAACACTTTCTCGTGGTAAACGCGAGCTCTAAAATCATGTGCGCACTACAACAGATCCAACATAAAAATTACATGACATTACTTCATCCACAGGTTTGAAGAAATCCTGCACAGTGCAAATAATAAATGTCCCCAATATTGATTACAAGTAAAGAGGAAAGTATTTCTTTTATGGTACGAGTTGTGCAACGGTATCATGCATCAGATCACTTAACATGAGACGACAGAGGGAGGCAGCGGGGTCTGGACTCCAGTCCAAAGACTTAGAGTCTAGATTATGCATATTGTCAAATGATTCCTGAAAAAGTCTGTTCAACACTTTATTTTGTGGGTCGTTTATTTTAGAACATCTAAACAATATCAACCACTTTACACTCCGCTCTCAAGGAACACACAACATCCATTGATTTGAAGGGCTGGGCGGGGGGCTAGTCAGTGGAGAACAGCGCTTGTGTTTCCAGTTAAATGGTGTTCCAGGTTAAATGCCGTTTACCTGCACCACTGTTATATAATGTGATAATAGCACCACTCCAACAGATAACACTGCCTTGCTACGTATACGAGGAATCACAGAGGGGGAACAGCGGGAGGGGAGGGGGGGGGGGGTTTGAA